CTGTTTTTATGACCTCGCGATGTTGTACACAAACTACGATAAACATAATATCCATTTTTATTTAAAAAACGGACCAATGAAATGAGACCAAAAACCGAATTGGGAAATCTTGAGAACTTTCTGGCAGACGCAGATCTCGGATGTTTCGTAGGTAGGACTTGTTTTCCGATATCCTCCGATCGGCAACATATACAAGTAAATTTTAATATCATAACAAGTGAATATAAAAAATGTCCCCCCAGTCACAGATTCTTTCTTTGGTTCAACACCTTTCAAAATAAAACTCCCCTAGCATTACTCGTCCAAATGTCAGTGTAGGGCTAATTGCTGCATTAGCATTAGCGTTAGCCAACAGCACGCTCCTGGTATGTAACGACTGCGCATTCGGCTGGATGTTGTTGTTTTAGGTTGCCGGTTTTGGCTCGTTCCTATTTTTTTTTTTTTGACAATAATTTATATTGCATCATCCGGGGTGATTTTTTTGGACTCCAAATGACCTTGCATGAGTATGACATTCACAGTACATTTTGAAATTCTTCGTGATGTAACGCAGACTTGAATTTTCATATTAAAGCGGCAGCTTGCTGCTGATTTATGCCGAATTGGATTTGCACGGCTGCCCTCTGTTCACCAGTCATCAGTGAAATGCACAGACAACTGTGTGGGGGGACAGCTTACAACGGCGGAAGAACGTGCCATTTTCACCTCATAACATAATCTCGGAGAAAATAGCCAAAATGGGCCTTGAAGAGGGAAGAAGTGCGGAGCTTCAAGGGCTAAAAAAAACCGACCCAACTTCACTGAAAGCAGCTATTAGACAACGGAGACAAGAGAGAGCAGTAGAGAGCAAGAGAAAAGGGCAAACATCTTTCCAATTATCAGCTTTGGCGTGTGGTCTTAAGAGCGAGCTGAAAGGACAGGTTATTAAGGTTTAATGCATCACAGCATAGGAACCAAGGACTCTTCCCTCATTAGACCCACCAGCAGTCCTGCCACATGTATGTGTGTGTGTGCATGGGCTTGCGCACACTACCAAACAGCTAAACTGTGGTAATGAGAAGGAGAGTGCTGGCTTGTCTGTTTACAGAGGAAATAATTGCAGATTTAGCCAACAAGGGCTTTTTCATTACAGACGAGATTAGCGTACATGCAAAAAAAAAAAAAAAAAAAGGCACATTTTCCTTATAAAACCACTCAACAGGAGTGAGAAATCTGATCTAGAGCGATGGCAAACGAGAGTATACCCAATATATGAAGCACTGGATAAGACCTCGAGGTAAACATTTAATCTCGTCTTTCAGGATGTAACGTTAAAGAACTGGAGAAAACCACTCTGTTGCTCAGTTCCTTCAGGAATCGGCCGCTGATTCCCGACTTCCAATTCTTGACTTTTTTTTTTAGTTTTCAAAAGCAAACAAACAACATGATGAAATTTCAGCGGATGATATACGGCCCTGGTTTGATGTCTGAGTATTAGTTTGTGGCGTGGGAGGATTCCACAAACAAAGACGGAATTGATTCTTCTTATTGAGATCCACCACATAATATCTGAGGGAATCCATCTGCCCATAGAGGAATCATGCCCCCTATAAATAAAAAGATCAAAACATAGGGTAGTCGGGGGGGGGGGGGGGGGGGTGCTGTGGGGGAGAGGGGTGCACAACGGACGAGGGGGAATTATTTGGCCTTCACGTCAAGCCATTAGCTGGGAATTTTACACAGCCAGGTACTAAGATATGAGCACATTAACCAGCGAGAAAGACATTCAGGAACTGTCAGCGCAAGCCTTGAGCATCGAGAAGGAAGTACTGGCAGTTGGGGCCTCTGCTTAGTGAGCCAGTAACTATCCTTCTGTCCACTTCTGCATGGGGTGATCATCACCGCGTGGGCACCGTGTCGCCCCGAGTCTGATGAGTACGATTTTCCGTAGATGGGATGATTAATGATCTCCTCCAAAATGCGTGAGTGAGATTGATACTACCCCGTTACCCCCTCCGTGCCTAATCCTTCATACTTACAGTAAATATGACACAACGTCCGTATGCGCGCGAAAAAACCACTCTGATTACAAACAGCTTGCGAGCCCTTGTTGCTCTTTAATGATTGCATCCAAAAGCATTCCTCTCAGTCAAACGGCGGTTCGCCGTAATGAAATTAGCCGATCGCGCTATCTTGCTCTTGCGAGCACAAGGCAAGTAGTTTCCACGGGGGTCAGTCGGCTAAGTAACCCTCGTTAAGCATCTATGATGCAAATGAGAATGCAAATATGACTAAAACACTGGTTAATTGGGCCTCCTGACATTGCAAACAGTCCCGGGGGTTGGGAGGGGGGGGCGATGCAAATTACATGCAAATGACAACTGACTGTCTTTCGTCTTGGCTGGCTCGAGAGCACGAGCCTATGGGCTGAGGTCCGTGACAGGTTCGGTCTATGCAAATATTTGACGAATCCAAGTAGGGAGCCAAGCAAACAAATACCCAGTGAAGAACGCGCTGGAGAGGTGCAAGAGGTTCACAACAGGTCAGGAGGCTTACATCACAACAGCTGAAAGCATTATACACCCCCACACGGCGGCCAAGCGCAGGAGAAGGGGGAAAATAGAAACCTCAAACCAGAGAACAAGAGGGGAAGTAGACATTACAGTCCAACCGCTCCACATGAACCAAAGCTCAACCCAGCTGCACGTAATCCAGCCAACTCCTGCATCATCTGGAGCCACTCTCCCATAAATTCGCCGCTGAGATCCAGTACTTTGGAACATTACTTACATATAAACACAGGCACTCTGAGCCGTGGTTGGGTTGGCAGCTGACAGAGGTCATTGTCGAAGTGCAAAGTCTTCTCTGAAGCCATTACGATCATTGCACAGCAAAGACCCTACGGACCGTGTGACAAGGGAAAATTGTGTCCTACTGGTTCTAACAGCTGTTGGAAAAAGTGGTTAGAGCAAAAAAAAAAAAAAAATTCACTGGTTGCTGGTTGGAGAGATTATTCTCTGTGAAATATTCTTTACACGCCCATGCATGTATTTTCTCTTGTTTTCTTCAACAGTCCAAACACATTCAGACTGAGGATTTAGAAGACTTTATTGACCATAGGTGTGAATGGTTTCCTGTCTCTGTACGTGACACTGCCTTCAGCTAGTGACTGGTGCCTTAAAATAGACTAAACAGTAGAAGAATAATGGCCTAGTGCCTCATTAAGTCTATGTATACATATATTATATACAAATACATATATATGTATATAAAAATATATACATGCATACACACAAATATACTGTTTATACTTGTATATTCCCCTATACATGTGTATACAAGTACACACATGTATACATGTCTATATATATTTACACAATATATTTAAATATATACTGTATGTATATTATATGTACATATATTCACTATATATCTGTTTGAGGGTTCAATTGCTAAAGCAAGTCTGAAAGACTAAACAGTAGATGAATGGTCTTGTGCCTCGTCTAGTATATGTATACTTACAGTATATATGTATTTATATATGTTTATAAAATGTATATGCATACATACATACATACAAATATTGACATAAGTACACACGTGCATATGTGCTTGTATGGATATACAATACAGTATATGTACAGATTTGTATATTATATATATAATTATATATTTATATATATATTTTGAGGGTTCAGTTGCTAGATCATGTATCTATTTGATGTTGCGATGGAATCATTGGTAACTGTTGTAGCAGAAAAAAAATTGCAAACACTGGAGAAATGCAACTAAAGACCTCACACAGACACCACGTTGTTTGTTAACTGTTTGTACGTCTATTTTGGAGAAAAACAAACAAAAAAAAGCAGGTCTTTTACTGTGGCATTTACATGGAGTGTTTTGTTTTTCTGGTTTACTGTTCAGTGACTGTCAATATGCCTCGAGGCTCGTTCACAGCAGAATTTAAAAGGCTGAACGTAGCGACAGAATCAATTCAGCTAATTTTGAGGACTACAGTACTATCGATTTTCTTATTGCATCACTTTGGGCAAGCATTAAACAGTTTTGCAACAATAACTACTGTTTTTGCAAAATCTGCATTATGAGCATGAACAAATCTCAGGGGATAAAGAGACCTGGTAATCAAACCACCAGTGCTAATAGTTAGTTTGATACCCTTCTTATAAAAGTTAAGTTTTATTTTAAAGATCAGTTGACATTCACTTTTACACAGAAAACAATGTTCCCTTCATGTGATTGACAGGTTGAACACCCAATAGGAACCTAGGTGGACTGGGCCATCTGCTGACTTCATTGTCCAACAACAACGCGAGTGAGACATTTAATTTTATGAAGTATTAAATCCTAGGGTTACACCTTAAAACCACGGTGCCAGCAGGACGTGTAAAAGAAAGGTGTGCATCAATCCCTCTGATATACACACACGTAGATCTCTATTCTAGATGAGGTACTGTGAACCCAGCTGTGATGTGCTCGTCCGGAGAGCATCAACATTCCCTGCACCACGGACAGGTTTTATGTGAGACAGTAATTTTACAGACTGGCTGTAAAGATGTGGTGAATAAAAACAACAGAATGGAACACAAGGCATGAAGAAAGTGAGTAAAAAAAAATACAATTCAGGATAATGCAATGGTTACTGATGTGTTGTATTGGAACATCCCTAGTTTACATCAGCAGTTTTGTAGGAATTTCACTGCTTACTTCACTCTACTAAAACAAGGTGAGTTAGGTTTGGGAGCAAAAACTGTGAGGGTGTCAATAAAAGGCCTGCAGTTACACTTCAGAACCACAGACATAATGTAGACAGTTGAAAAAAATAGGGAAATGTAGAAAATATGGCAGAAATTAGTTAAAGGAAAAAAGATACCCCTACTATATTATTTATTTAATTTTATTTGTCTTTTTTTTATTATTAATTTATCTTTTATTCTCATTTATTTAGACATGCTATGACATGCTAGGCCACTAGGCGGCGCATCATATTTGTGGTAGTATAGAATTTACGCTAAATTAAGACATGAAGAATAAATTCTGCTACTGTGATGATAACACTTGCAAAATGTGTATCCCCTTTATTCTTACCACAGGTCGGTAAATGTATACTTATTCGGGTGTGTACGTGCTATATGTTACGAGTTGAATATGTGACTAAGTAATTAGCTGAGCTAAAGTAACCGGTTGGTGTTTAGTGAGCGTGTGAAGTGCATGCTAAGTGGCTAATGCTAAGTGGCTACTGCTAAGCGGAGATGTGTGGTAGTGAATGAAGAAAATAGATGCCCTAAATACATAATGGTGTTTATTAAGGAATGTGTTTTATGCAATGTGTAATTTTAATTTGTTTTATAGGTTTTATTTGAACACAAATTGATAGTTTTTGATAATAGCCAAAACCAGTAAAACTAATATTTCAAAGTTCAAGTGCAGCATCATTGTGACTGTATGAATAGTTAAACTCTGAGAGAATGTTTCCTAAATATTAACTAATTTAGATTCATAATTGGTTCAAGATAGCATAGAAAAGTAAATAATATTTACACCAAACGACAGCTAATAGAAGAAGGTGACAGGTGAAATGAAGAAATAAATAAATAAAGCATTAATAATTAAACATCTGTATGTGTGGCTGTGGTCATTGAGAACCTTCAGGATGACTTAAGTGTCTTTTTTCTGCTCACACTACCCTCATTTGAACTTTTTGAAATAAATGTCTTCTGTAAATAAAGCAAAAGTTTATTATAGAGAGACCTGGACAGTGTGACATTGAGCCCTCACAGTTTTGAAGCTCATATCCGGTGTCTGTGTGACCTCTTGGACTCCAGCGGTCTTCTCTTGATTGGCACTCACTATTATTGCACCTGATTTCTTAGAGACAAGGAACAAAAATGAAATTGATAAGGTTCTTTTTTTTTAAACCTTGTCCATCAGCGCTGGTCAGGGCACAGGTCAATATTACACACTACTGCAATCAGTGTGTCATATTACTGTACAGTCTTGTCTGACGTTACAGAAACAACCGCACCTTTTATCTTTGCTCTCCCATTCGGAGCTACGGGCGATGAATCAAACGCCTGCTCACTCACTATTCACTTCATTCATAAACCCAAAATATTACAGAGGCATCCCATTGGCTTAGAGCGCGATACGCAAAAAACGCCATGCCCTCCGTGGCCAATGGCTGACGAGTAGTACGCTCTCTCCCTCCTTGCTTTTATGCACCCTCTTTAAACCATCTCTCATTTTTGTTCTCCTGCTCTCTCTCCCTCTCTCGCTCCTCAGCTCCCGCCCTTCATTACAGCAGTCAAAAGAGTCTGATTATGGGGAGTGCAGCACAGACTCAGGCAGTGGGACAAGACTGTCAGCCTGCGCTTTGGAAGGTGACGACACATGTGCTGTACATCCCGTAACCTTCAAGTGGCGCCAGGTCCTCTACGGTGAGTTTGTGATATCTGACCCTTCAAGCCCGGTCATGTGTGGGCCGTGTTTGGCAGTGAAACCTCACAGGTGACGTGGAAAAGCACTCTAAAAATGAACCTCTATTGGCTGATTGATCGACTGATTGACATCTATATTGGCTGATCATTAAGTCGGCCCTCCTGAGACACGAGGGCTCTTACATCAGGTCTAACTCAATATGAGGCAGTTCAATATTCACTTTGGGCTTTTTTTTCATTTGCAAATCTTTGCGACTCAGGAAAAAGAAAAAAAAAACACACAACAAAAACAAACGAATCAATGATGTTCATGCAATGAACCAGTGACTCCTTAAACTCAGAAAGTGTGCCACTGTAAATAGGGAACTGGGTTGAGTGCATTTTCACCGAGTTTCCAGGGGCAACACTGCCATCTATGGACACGTCTGGGAGCTGAGGGGCTCAGATTACATCATCATTTTGAGGGCAATGATGTGTTTTTCTAAGATGCTGCGACTCAGACAAAGAGATGTAGGGCTAGACTGTTGATTCGAAATTCAAAAGTGGAAGGAAAATAAATAAAGTTTAAAAGGTCTTTTTGGACATGTGTACATTATAAGAGTCGGGGGTTACATTTATTAATAAAGATGTTTCTACCTGTAATTTACATTTAGGTGACACACATGTACCCAACATACCTGTCCATGAAAACTTTCGATTAATGTTTACATTAGATTTGAAGGTAACAAATTACTACGTTACATCTATGTAATTATTTACAACTATTTTTACCACAACTATGATTTTAATCAGATTATAAGCCTCAGTGAAACTGAATCTTTGACGATTTATGTTACACCACTTAGTCCAATAGTCTGAAATCAGTTTGAGCCGGGTTACCACCATCCAATAGTCTGAAATCAGTTTGAGCCGTCAATCTTTTTGAAAAGAAAAACACTGGCGATATTAACTTTTTTTGAGTCTGTCAATGTGTTTGACACAGTCAGAGAGAAAACATTGCAGCATTTTATAAAAGCATTTTTCCTTTTTATGTTGGTTCAAAAACTGTTGACTTGAAAGAACAGAAAAATCTGTTACATCAGCACTTTATTTATTAAGATAAAGTGTCAACCTATGAGCAGAAAGTCGTGTTTTTATGCATTTGTTGTAATAATGTTTAGACATGTGTGGCCTTAGAGAAGGAGGATTAGATATGACGTCATGATCAGTAAGTAATGCAAACGTAAAATGTAGTTGTTTTTTTTAATCAGGCACAAAACAGTACAAGCTTTGAGTCAGGAGTGTGACTCGTTGAATGGGTTTATACTGCCTCCTAGTGTCTGCACATGAAGTCTACAAGAGTGATCTGAATTTTTTTTTTTTTTGCCAACGAAGTTTGACACAGTACAGTAAGTTTCAAATCATATTAAAGGTAAGCTATGTCAAAAGATTGCGGTTCAGATGCATCTTAGATTATTGGTTTTATTGATTACATTATTGAAAAATTAAAATGAGATGACTGTGCTGGGTACTTTTGCAGGTATTGAGAAATTGTTCTCTAAAGTTTGCACGTTAGGGAATCTTTTTAATTCATATCACATTTACTTTGTTGTTGTTCAGCTAGGTAATTTAGATTGAACCAAAAAAAAAACTGTTGTGAAAGAATGAAAATTACTGTTAAATCAATAATAAAAAGAAACAGAAAGTACCTTAAAGAGATTCAGTTTCAGATTTGAGGATTAAACAGACAACTGGAGTAATAAAAGCTTTTTATTTATATTTCAGGCACTGAGGTGAATAAAAGACAACAATATGGATCTAAACTAATAATTCATTATCAGTTAGACACAGAAATCAACCCTAACCAGAGAAAGAGTAACATTAAAGTTTAACAAGCACAACTTTGGCAAATCGTACGCTGACAACAGGTCAGCTGAGGAACAACAACTTTACATGAGACTATTTTAAATCGTCATCAGCAGTTACAAGATATTAGTGTCACACATTTTCTTTGTACAGTTACATTAACAGTCTGGTCTTTCTATGGTATTCATTATTATGACATCATCATCACGTCTCTAAAAGCCCGTGTTGTCTGTTTGAGCTGTACAGCAAGTGTCTTTATTGATTCTGACTAATAATCCAGTAACTCAAAAGTGCTAATATCAAACCTGCATTACATTGTACCTGCAAAGAAAGTGTGTGATCCCTGAGAAGGTCCAACAGGACAGGTTGTTGCTGAGCTACTGTAGGTTGCAGTTCATTTGCATGACAGTTACGGACGCATCAAATTAGTACAGTCACGAGAACATGAAGGGTGAGTCACGCTGTAGTTGATCCACATACCATTCACATTAATTAGACCTGCTGATTTACTTGTTCAGTTGTGGTTAGTGTAGTACATTCAGGAACTAACTACAGAGTAGCAATATACCAAAATATATCATTCATGTAAAAATTCCATTCACTAAACAAATTGAGATAGACGTGGTTTCTTGTATTTGCATTTACTTTAATATAAAGTGAGATAAAAAAAAAGCAGTGATTTTTTTTTTAATTCAGTAGTAGAGGTAGAAACATGTCCCCTGTCAGAGAGGGATGTTGACCTGGTAGATCCTCAGGAATGAGAAATAAAAAAAAAGGAATTTTACAATTTGTTTTTTTTTTTAGAATTTGAGTCAGAAGAGAACAAAAGTAAAACAAAGTCTTTGAGTGCATATTTGTTATATTTGCAGTTCTTCTTGCAAGAGAAAAGAAAAAAAAAATCTGAGAAAAGCTTGATCCCAATTTTGGAGCTTAGAGCACAAACAATCACATTCCAGAACAGGTGACACATTCTTCTGGTTCCGCCGTTCCTTTCCGGTCAATAAGGCATTCACAGTACCAGGCTGCTAAAAATTAACTTGGACTTCAGGTCATGCTTTTGTTTGGGTTTTCTGTCATCCAGTTTGTGTAAAAAAAAAAAAAAAAAAATCCACCATCTTGCAAATGATCAGATTAGAAAAAATAAATAATTGAAAGAAAGTTATAGCTTAGCAAATTGGATAAATCCCTTCCAATTTCCCAGGGAAGTAATCAGTGATGCTTTAGTATTCTGTCAGGCTCAGGATGTACTGCTGTCCATGAAGCCAGAAGGTCAAAGGTGAGAAGTCCTGTGAGTCTTCAGAGGTGAGCTGGAGGGAGGTGGGCATAGAGGGTGAGAAGGGAATGGTAACTGGTGATGAGTATGACGAGTATGATGTCATCATGGGGCAGACAGATAAGATTCGAGATGCAGTGTAATCGTGTTCTGCAAAGATAATTTAGGATATGTTGTGGATTATCGTTTCAAATTCATTTACCCTGTAATGAAATTTTGGCCTACTTTTTTTTTTTTTTAGCTCTAACTTGTTTATATTTATTCTCATCTTTGTAATGGTTATATACCAGGGATTGTTTTTGGCAGTTTAAACATCATTCTACATGAATGACTTTTATGTCCTCGACCTTGATAATCTTAAAACACTTACCAGGTGAAGGCATTGGAACTGCAGGGATGACGGAAGACTTGGGGATTTTTACACCTTTAACATCCTTTTGGTCGTTTGTGGAGATGAAGATATCAATGGGTCCCTGGGTGCTCTTCAGGTGGACCTGGAAGCACTGTAGAAAAATGAAAAGGACTGTAAAAGCACATTAGCAGTCAGGCTAGTTAAACTGAAGCTAAAACAGAGAAAGGTTTTAACTAGAAATGCTGTGGACAACATATTTTTGCTGGCCTTAAGTGAATTTTAGGGTGAATGTCTCTACTACTGTTTTCTGTGTAAATTCATTTACCTCATCTGGATGTGAAACCTCCAGTTTTGTCTCTGCAGGAGCTTTGATCACCATCACCGTCTGTTCCTTCAGACTAGGAATCTTTCGAAGATCCTCATGCGTCAAATATGCATATGTTTCATAAGGGTCAAGAAATAATAGGAAACTGGTGCAATACCTTGCTCATAAAAATACAGTAATAAGATACATAATTTCTTGTACGCTGGTGCTTTAAGGTTATAAAAGACATGCTAGCTAAGCTGTAAAAAAATGGGTGTGAACACAGTACTTTGACATGCAGCACCGAGCAGTGGAATAATATAAGGATATTTCTGAACACAATGATCCGTGCACATCTGGTGAATGTGTTTTGTACAGCTTTTTATCTGCTCGTCCAGTTGCTTTTCCTCCTCTTCAAGCCTGATCAAGTCTTCCGTTACAGGCCTATTGAATGGAGCGCCCCTGTACGCACACACACACACAAGGACAGACATTTAAACAGTCTCAGCACACAAGAAAAACAAAGCAAAGCATTTGAGATCTATTCGTACTTACAACCACTGAACAGTGTTTTTGGACTTCTTTTTTAACAGCGAGATTCCCTCCAGGACATTGGTGACATCATAGATACGTCTCTTTGCAGTGTTGAGTTCGAGAGCAGTCAGGTTCATGTCCAAAATGCCATCAGAGGAGCGTTTCAAAAGCTCTCTAAACCGCAGTGTCAGTAGACCCAGAGAGGCATCGTATCGTGACTTTTCAACCACAGAGGAGCATTCAGCTGGTCTGGGGGAGTGAACTGAAAAAGATGGATGGGAATTACAATAAAATTACATAGTTTAATAAACTTAATATATCCAAAATGCTTTAAAATGGCATATTACAAAAAAGCAGAAATAACAACAACTTGCAATCTGTGTTGCAAATGTGGCAAAGGTTCTAAGAAAATAAAAATAATATTGTTATCTGTGTTGCAAATGATGCAAAGGTTCTAAGAAAATAAAAATAATTTAACAACATATAACCTTACACAACAAAGAATTTTATCAAAAACTCCTCAGAAACTCCTTAATAAGGTCACACCTATTTTACATATGAGACAACCTTGCTTGCTAACAGCAAATTCTTCTTATGTAAGATCAGGTGTTCACATTTAAGGTAAAGTGAGCAGTGCTGCCTTCAGGTCTTCTGCAATAATAATTAAATTACAGTAAATTCCAGATGATATAAATATGCATTTGTAAATATTGCAAATGTGTGCGATTTTCTGCATGTGGCTGTTTCTTTTATGCTCAATGAACTTATAAATAATAATGATAAATTCATAACAATGTCTTACCCTTTTCTCCCTCGTGTGACTGAGAGCACATGGCTGCTTTGTCATTGGCAGTCTTGCTACCATTCTTAGGATCACAAACGTCTAGCTCCAGCCTTCCTTTTCCCTTAAACAAAACAAAAATACAAAATAGTGTTAGATATAAATTATTAACATTGCTTTGGGAATAACGGAGGAATTAAAGTCTGCAATTATTACTCAGTAATGCGTATAGACGCAATGGAAAAACTAAGTTCAAGCTAAATGCTCAGCTTCTTGTTACCTGAGTTTGGGACACGTTATTTCCCCAGCTTCCCGCCCCACGTCAGTTATTGCTAACAGGAGCAATGGCTTCCACGCGTATGTAGTTCAGAGTTCGAGTCGGCATTTAATTTCGAAAAGAGCAAGAAGCAAATAAGCAAGTGTTTACCTGTAAAATCCTGTAGAAATGCGGGGGAAGAGTTATAGTAATTTCTGCGCGGGAGTAATCCAAAACAATCTGCTTGGGAAAATACCGCGGTATTATGCTGCAGCTATACCGGAAACACCCTGTTGCAGCGGTGTAAGACACACCTTCAAATTAAAAGCATAGCATAAGAGTGTACTCTTACGCGACAAAAAAATAAATAAAATAAAAAACGAGCTAGAGGGTCGCAAAAAGAACGTAAAACAAAGTTTGAATACTTTAATATATGACAACACATTTTGCAATATGTGCAATATCCCTGTAAAATGTGGTGATCAATTCTTGTTTTAGCCTTAAACGTTAGCATATAAGTAATAAAATATTATAGAATTTATTTTTTAATAATGGTTGTGTATAAACAGGGTGAATAAAATGCCACAAGAGACTACAATTCGTAATTTTATGTATTTTTCAAAATTAATAACCTATTATGATTTTCAAAAGTGGTAATCAGAAGGTTTAATGTTATTTATTTGAGAGTCTTGTATCAACAGTTTTGTAACTGGCCACTGGTGGCAAGTTATGCATCTATCCAGTCCAGTACTAAAATGTTTGACATTATGGTTGAGAAATAAAATAGTCTTGGACAAACAGTAAAGATGTAATTTTGACCTTGTGGTGAATGGTAATGTCTCAGAGGTAAATTTACTAAATACTAAGCACATTCACAGTCCACTAATTGGCAGCTGTATTTAATTGTAAAAAAAAACAACTTGGTTGTGTATTGTATGGTTGTAAAGCATTTAATAGAAAAACATGTCAGAGATGTATGAACATGTAAAAAATAGAATCATCAGTCCTTAAGTTGTCAGTTAGAAAAAACAGCACATTCTGGGGAAAAAAAACAACAACTAAGAATTGTTGAACTCATAAAAGTGTCATGTCATCATTGCTTTAATATTCATTTGCAATTTCTGTACAATGTCCTTTGATTAATTTACTTTTTTTTAAACTCATAACTCAAACAGTCATATGATTACAAGCAGCCAACAGTGAAATTATTTAATCGTCATCATCAAATTTAATTTTCTTCCCTTGAAATGCCAATATTTGTCCTTGTTGTTCCTTTCTCCTCTTACTGGCCTCCCAAGATGGATGCAGAGCCTGCTTTGGAGCCTGCTGGGAAAAGGCGTTGGGCCTTGTACCTCTACCCCTGCCTTGTCCTCTACCTCTGCCAGAAAATGAAAAGTTCCTCCCCTCTGAATCCTGCAGTCCAGAATGTCTCTCTTCCCCTGAACCCTGCTTTTGAAACTTAGATTGTTTACTAAAGTCTCTGTTAACACCACCCCTGCCATAAGGTTTCCTTTGGCCCCGAAATGTATCACCACCACTTCCCCTGCCTGCACCACCACCTGCACTTTGCTTAGGCCCAGAAAGGGAAGAACAAAATACGGACTGAAGCGATTTTGACCTTGGTCTAGACTCGAGCTCAATTTTCTCCTTTTCCACAGATTCCACTTTCAATCCCGTCTCCTGTTTATCTGTAGTTTCTGCATCTTTCTTCTTCTTCTTTTTGAATTTATTGACTTTTCCGAAAAAGAAGTCGTCGTCGCTCTCCTCAGACTGAGAGGATTGTTTGTGGAAACGCTCCTCTGTGCTGTCATCAAAGTACTCTTTATCTTCCTCGTCTGATGACTCTAATCCACTCTCTTCTTCTTCTTCTACACTTACCTTTTTAAGCACTGCCACGGGTTGTTTCTCACTTCCAATTTGAATCTTCTACACTTACCTTTATAAGCACTGCGACGGGTTGTTTCTCACTTCCAATTTGAATTTTAGATTCAGAAAATGTAGATGCATTTTTGACAGTTTTCTCAACATTTTTTCTATTTGTTGATGGCTGCTTCACATTCTTGTTTTCTATTTTAACCTGTTCAACGTCAGCAGTGTCTGCTGATTCTGCAGGTGTCTCTGTCTCTTTTTCAGGTTCGGACACAGTTGAGTCTTTACAGTCTTTAAGTATGTTGTCCTTTACCTTTATAGTTGTTAATTTATCGTCAGTTGTCTCCTTTTGCTTCACTGTTGTCACATCTGTGACGTGTTTCTCCAGGCTTTTCTTTGCTATGTCTGATTTATTTTGCACCTTTTCCTTTCCTCCCTGCTTCCCACCTTTCATCCTTTCCTCTTTGAAAGCTTTGATAGCAGCTTTGATGTCCTCAATCTTCTTGTGGAACTGAGGATATGTGGCAATGCGCGCAATTGCCCGGTCAGAAATGTTCGACTTTGGGTTCTTACACACCTCCTCAAATTTGAGATTCTTCTGTAGGGCTGTCTTGGTCACCTGGAAATAAGGTATGATTTCATCAAATTAAAGAAGTGATATGTATTTTGTAAATAATTTACAAACAATGACATACATGTACAAAAGGTATGAAGAAACTTACCAGGTCTGGCGAAAGAGCTTTCATTGCATGGATCTCCTCCAACAGTCTGGCAGCTCTCCTCTGATTCTTCTCCACTTCAGCCTCTTTACCTTTCTTCTTTTTCAGGGCACCAATTTGACGCGTGAGTTTTCTGATGATCAGGGCTCTCACTCTTTTCACATCCTTCCTCATCTTCACCACCTCATTGTTGAGGTTCAGACCACCAGTCTGCTTTACTTTTTTTTTTTCACCATGGTCTTCCTCATTCTGATTGTTGTCTTTAATACCGTCTTCTACATTCTCCTCTTTCACCACCTCCTTCTCCTGCTCTTGTTCTTCTTCTTCTTCATCATCATCATCACATTCTTCTGCCTGTTCCTGAATCTCCTCCTTTTCCTTCTCGTTTTCTTCAAACGGCATCAGTGATGTCTCCATCTTGTCTTGAGTATGTTTGATCTATGGAGATACAGTTGTAACAGTACAATGTGAGAGTTATATATGCAAACTTTAATTTAGTATATTTGTCTGACTTTGTCAAAACGTTTTGGAATATTTTGCAGTCATCAAATTGCATACTTTCTTCACCATTTAGAAATGTGTTTTAATATATCTACTTGGATATGTAAATGATAAGTTACATTTCTTCCTTTTGTTGTTTATTCTCTCTGTTGTGATTTTACTGCATGTAAGTGAGCATACATGTACTTGAGGTATCATAAGAAGGCTGGCGTTATAAGCAGAGCCACGTTTATAAAAAAAAAACTCGTGTATACCACTAATGCAAAAAAAATATTATTATTTACCGGAAACTGCCAAAACAAACGTGGCCTCGCGCATGAGCTTGTAAAAAGCGTGTAAAAAGAGCTTGCTTGAGGTACGGCTTGCGCTAAACCTTACACAACTGCGAGGGAACCAATAAAATAATTTTAGATAATCGTGTCAAACTCACCGTTAAAAATGGTGAATTTTAAAGCTCAAAAACGTGAAAATTTTGTGGACGACGTTGTACTGGTGGAAGGCGCCATGTTAAATACGTAACGTCACGGCCAGCGGAGTGACGTCGTGAGACGTCGAAGAGACGCATCGTGTCGTGAAAAGGGGAGGGTCTTCTGTGGACTGTTTTTATTTATTTCTTTGTTTCATGTGCATTAAATAACAACAGTGTTAGATAAATGAAGAAATGAAAACATTAGGATGAGTGAATGACATTTCCTGCTTCCGACACAAGACCGATATCACGAGCGAACCAACAAGAGGAGGATGAAGCGGCGCAATGCGGACTGCAGCAAACTCCGACGGCCGTTAAAACGGAACCGAATCACGGAGGGTATATATAGCAGGTACCGAACGGGGCTAGAGGGACGTTACTGTGCGACAATGGCGCCCATCTACATATGGCGTGAAAAATGTCAGCTTCTTCTTCATTCATTCATAATCTGAACGCTGTTGCCTGAGCGACGAACGAAGATGAATGAATTTGCCCGTTTATTGCCGAAAATCAGGCCTACGGTTTTTTGTGTGTGTTGCATCTCATAAATGATTTGTTGAGAGTAAAATGTTTAATAGTTGCATGTATTTAAAACGTGGCAACGCGTGCTTCTTTGTATACTTAATGGACATTTCGTTCATTTTAAAATCGTTTGCGGCTGAAACAGTTTCACAAAATTGTGTTAGAAAAAAATGTTCCAGCTTGAGATGACAACGGCAATGTCAGGGGGCGCTCGTTTTAAATTGCGGGGTGACGCCGACGGCGGTGTTCTCACCTGTGCTTTGTCTGCCAAAAACCGTAAAAAATGTGAAAGTGAAACAAAAACCGCCAAAGTTCGCGGCCTTGCACCTTGCATTTGACTCTGTAATGTCAAAACACAGTTTTACTTATAAACGTGATATACATAAGGTTAAAAATAAATGCCAAACGCGTCTATATGTTGCGAAAGTCCAGTTAGTAAAATGACACCAGCTGTGCTTTTAGTAACATGTCTAGACATGACACTGCACAAATTCTCATACTTCTCTTCCGCTCGTATGTTGTATTTCAGTTTAATTCAAAATTTCAACCGTAACATTTCTATTTCACTTCTATTAATCGAAATTATATTTCTCGGCATTAGAACTCCACGTAACCTTCACATAACGTAGTAAATTGAAATCGACTTTCAACAATGGAAATGTCTTGAAAAACAAAAATCGTTCAAAATGTAATATATTCGGTTTATTAAATAAGATAAAATGATTCTCACAGACCCTATATAAATGTTTATACAAGTCTACCCCAAAACTATTATAAAATGTTATTTTAATAACTTATTTACTTTGAAAAATGCAGTTCACATTTAGACGGTAAGTCCAAGCTAAAACTCTAAATAGATTTTGTGCCGTGCCACATAGCGTATATCTATCAATTTGAAATTGTTTCTTACAATTGGATGTATATTATTTTTCTACGAAAAAAAAGATGTATAAAAATTATGATGTATATTATGTGTAAACTACGAAAAAAAAGATGTATAAAAATTAACCTTTTCAATTTGTTTTTTTTTCTTTTCTATCCTCTGTTTGTGTCCTGTTCTTCAGCACTTTCCTGTATCTGAAGTTTCTCGTTGTGTGGGTGTTGGTTCTTCTGGCTGATTTTGTGCTAGAGTTCAGGTTTGAGTACCTGTGGCCGTTTTGGCTTTTCATACGAAGCGTCTACGACTCCTTCAGATATCAGGGACTGGTAAGAGATGAACGGGAAAAAAAACATTGAAACAGTTAAACTGCACCTTCTTACTAATCTTATTTTTGTTTGTTTCTCACCTAGGCCTTCTCAGTCTTCTTCGTATGTGTCGCTTTCACATCGGACATCATCTGCCTCCTTTTTATACCTGTTCAGTGGCTGTTCTTTGCTGCCAGTACCTATGTGTGGGTACAGTATGTTTGGCACACAGGTACACACAAGCTGCCCTTTGATTCTTTTATTTAAATGGGACAATTAAATGAGCACGTCCACCTGATTCTTTTATTTAAGTGGGACAATTAAATGAGCACGTCCACCTCAAAATGTACATAAAACAAACTCATAGCTGTTATTTTGCCCTGTTGTTTGACTTTTTCCCTCTCTTAATATCCACACAGAAAGAGGAGTTTGTCTTCCCACGGTTTCACTGTGGATTCTGTTCGTGTACATTGAAGCTGCCATCAGGTTCAAAGATCTAAAGAACTTTCATGTAGACCTTTGTCGACCTTTCGCCGCTCACTGGTAAAAGCCTTTTAATATAGTGTCATCTTTTTGCTCATGCAGCGCACCTTTCTTTCTTCAACTTTACCTTTCAAGAACATCATAAGTTGACCTGTGTTCTTTTTTCTTTGTTTTTTAACCTTCTAGTATCGGATATCCAGTCGTGACCCTAGGCTTTGGTTTTAAGAGCTACGTTAGCTACAAGATGCGGCTGAGAAAACAGAAAGAAGTGCAGAAGGAGAACGATTTCTACATGCAGCTCTTACAACAGGCCTTACCGCCTGAGCAGCAGATGTTGCAAAGACAAGAAAGAGAAGCAGAGGAGGGTAAGAGATGCACAGAACTCACATGATCAGATTTCACAGGCCAACTGTAATTTTTTTTTAACAGATACCTCAAATCTAACTCACACAAAAGCAACAAGAAATGGTTATCAAAAGAAAAGACACTCATAAAAATAACTTAGTTTATGAAGTCTTTCTGTTTAAATTGTGTCCTTTAGATTGTGCATTTTCTGCCACAGCAGTTGATTTTATTTTAATTCTGGAGTTGCTTTTTGTTTTTGGCCCAGATAAAAAAATACTTTCTCTTTATATGTGTCCAAGAGCTTTTAAAGAGGAGCCCACATTGATGGACATTTATCTTTCCTTCAAAGAGCTCTAAATTAAAGAAAAATGGTCAGAAATACAAATTATTTAAAACTAGTAGGCTTTGAGTTATAAATCATACAAACAAAACATCTCTGAAACTGGTACTTTTAAAAAAAAATGAGGCAGGAAGAAGAAATATGGGCCGCTTGTGATTGTTTGTGTCTAATATGAATCATTATATCTGGAAAGCTACACGCATTGTTTGTATATCCGTGTATTAAATTTACAGGGCTTAACAAATCTATCTTCTCTGTTACTCTTTACAATCAGAAGTTACTTTGTTCAGTTTGCTCTGTTGCATTCACAAAGTCTACCCTCGCTCTCTAACAGCTGCTTTGGCTAAGGGGATCTCTGAGGTCGAACCTGCAGTGATATCCCAAAACGGAGCACCACCTGGAAAGAAAAGCGCCGGTGTTCCATTACCAGAGCTGGAGTACCGCGAAAAGGGCAAGGACAGCTCGGCGAAGGAACGCGACAGCAAAAAACAGAACTCAATTGGAATCAATAACAACAGCATCATACACACACTGGACTCCAAACTGCAGGAGACGGAGTACATTGAGAACTACGTTGGGTCGAAGAGACTCAACAATGACCTGTCTGGAGAAAACATGCACGCAGACACTAACACACACACTACTTCGAAGGAGGAAACGGGGGGCACAGGGAAGAACTATAAAAACGGCGGAAGTGGGGGCGGCATTTCAAATTCATCCCCGCGGAATCACAGCGCAACCAACGGCAGCGTTCCGACCGGTTCGCTCAGCGGTAAGAATGAGAAGAAACAGAAGGGAACCGGGAAGGGCCAGAAGGATCCGGTGGAGAACTGCATTCCCAACAATCAGCTCGGCAAGCCGGACGCTCTTGTGCGGTAAGAGACGAACACACACACACACGCTCTTAATTTTTGTTCAATTGATTCTTTGCCTGTCGCTGTTCCTTTTTCGTGAACATCTTGTTCTCCTCTCGTCTGTCAAGCCTGGAGCAGGATGTGAAGCGGCTGAAGGCAGATCTTCAGGCCAACAGGCAGCTGGAGTCTGAGCTCCGGAGTCAGCTTTCCTCTCTGAGCAGCCAGGACCGCAGCCTCCGATCTGAACTGGCACAACTCCGCCAGGACAACGAGTTATTACAGAATAAGTGAGTCGCACGCAACGTTTGGTACATTATAGGAACCTTTGCATGTTTTTTTTTCTAGTAACTAGTAGGAATATTCATGTCCATATCCAAGCGATACTGCAACTCGGACTACCTGCTGATACTGATATCAATCCAGCATGATGTTCAATGTTTCAAGACTATTTTCCTCTGTCACAATCCAGGCTCCACAGTGCAGTGCAGGCCAAACAGAAGGACAAGCAGACCATTTCCCAGCTGGAAAAACGGCTAAAGGCTGAGCAGGAGGCTCGGGCTGCGGCCGAGAAACAGCTGGCGGAGGAGAGGAAGAGAAAGAAGATCGAGGAGGCCACTGCTGCCAGAGCTGTCGCCTTGGCTGCTGCCACTAGGTTCCAACTCCTCTTTTTTGAAACTTGACTTCATAATATAACTACATGTTAAAAACAGTACAAATATTTCAGATTTTGTAATGGGAGATGAAATTAATTTTTTTTTTTTTGTAATACAGAATGGAGTCGAACGACACCCTTCGTGTTCGCATCAGAGAGCTGGAGACGGAGTGCAAGAAGCTCAGTATGGACATGAAGCTGAAGGAGGAGCAGATCAGGGATCTGGAGGGCAAATGTCAGGTAGGATTGGATTACAGTTGGTTTCACTTCGTCTTTTAAGATACTTGACAACAAATATCGTGAACGATGACATCAAGTCACAGTCCATCAGGTGGTCACATATCTCTATTTACAGTGTACAGGGGGTCCTCAGTTTATGACGTCCTCCACTTACAGCGTTTTCTGGTTACGTCACCATCTCCCATAAATGTATTAAAAAAAGTCTTGTTCCATCAATCTGAAGTATAGCATGAAAACATTTTTTTTTTTGCCCTTCATTACGGCTCCAAAAGTGTAAGTCCTCTGATGTTTTCATGTCCTAGATTATAATGTTATCACTGTGTTAGCGTAGGTGAGTACTTGTGTAAACCGTACTTGTTGGCAAATCGTTTAATAAAACATTTATATGTCCTGTGTGTAGGAGCTGCGGAAGTATAAGGAGAACGAGAAGGACACCGAGGTGCTAATGTCGGCACTCTCAGCCATGCAGGAGAAGACCCAGCACCTGGAGAACAGCCTCAGCGCTGAGACCAGGATCAAACTGGACCTTTTCTCTGCTCTGGGAGACGCTAAAAGGCAACTGGAGATAGCACAAGGTAAGTAGGTGTTGACCATGGAGGTTGTACTGTAGATAAAGCAACAAGTAGTAAAAAACTAGTTTTGTTAGGAGAAGGAAAAGACTTCTTAGAATTATTTTATTAAGTTGTAGAAAAGGATTTGTATCTAGTATTTGATAAGATAAAAGTGGAGGAGGTATTGTCGGCTGTAGCATTGTTAAAAAGATTTTTCAAAGACAGCACCTTGTTGAAGCACAACGTAGGGGAAAAAATAGAAAGAACAAAGCCTTGAGGTATTCTGCAGGTGAAGAGAACTAGAGAAGAGAAATCCTTGTAGAAAAAATACCTGTCGGTCGGACATAACATCAGCTAATCCAAGAGATGAAAAGGGATTTAAATAACTCAAAATGTGTCTCAAAATTGTAGACATACAAACTCATTAATAGTTGCCATCACACAATAATATTTCTATGAAATAAGTATGTAAGAAACAAGGGCTCATTTAGGCTTCAGTCACTGTAGCAGATGTGTTATCATACCGGAAACACAGTGTAAAAGTTCATTTCTTATCCACTGACTTACTACTACCACTACTAATACTACTACGATGTAAAAGTTAATTTCTTATACACTGACTTACTACTACCACCACTACTATTACTACTACTACTATTACTACTACTACTACTACTACTTCTACTACTTCCTGCAGATTCGTGTGTCATGAGCCCGGGTTATATTGCTGTCATTAATCATATTAAAACACGCCTCCGCTTCTGTTGAATTCTGTAACAAGTCAATTTATGCTGATACTTTAATGTCCTCATTAGTCAGTTAATGGCTGACTCATCACAGCACAACGGCTTTTTTGTACTATGTGAGATACTGGGCTTGTAAAAAAAAAAAAAAATTGACAGTGAAATTGTTTACTCCAGGAGATGCCAAAGAATTAACAATATAGCTAATGTGCTCACAGATGTTAATTTAGAGCTGCATCTTAATGTGTTTTTAATTTTGTATTTACAGGACATTCATTTTGGCAAGATAATTTACCATCATAATAGGGATGTTACATTTATATAAACATGACATATGATGTAATATGCAATTTTAAAGATTTCATTACTTTAATAACTGCGAAAGGTTTCAAGAGTGTGATCTGTTTATTGCAGTGTGCTTCTTGTTAATTGGCTCGGGGCAAGTCAGGGTCAGAGATGTTTCGAGTTATGTCTTGTAAAGTGATGGAGTCTTTTGGAACAAGAAGTTATTTCAATATAAGGCATTTAAAAGGGCACTGCGAGGCACTGACAAAGAAAGTGTTTAGTGTGTGCGTCTTCTTCTCTAATGTCTTAAGGAGAATGAATAGGCGAGACTCTTGCCTGATTTTTTTTTTTTTCAACATTATTTTTGTCTGGGTGAAGGAATGTGTCCCACAGAAAACTAGTCCGTGACCCATTTTGGGTTGCGGCCCTCCAGTTGAGAACCACTGATCTAAATTATTGATATTTACCTGCTGATATGGCTGTAAGGTTTTCACTTATATTATACTATAAAAATGCCCTACACTTTAACTCTGAGGGAACTACTGTTCTGTTTGACTATTAATCTAATATATATTTATTAGTTATTAACTGTATAAACATCTGTATTCTTTTGGTGATATCCAGGTCAGATCCACCAGAGGGAGCAGGAGATTGCAGAGCTGAAGCAGAAGATAGCAGAGGTGATGGCCGTGATGCCGAGCCTGTCGTATTCGACAGACACCACTAACCTCAGCACCGTCGCCCCGCACTACTCTTCCAAGTTCATGGACAATAGTCCCTCATCCCTGGACCCCAACGCCTCTGTCTACCAGCCCATGAAAAAGTGACTCTGACCTCCAAACTGTCTGTCAGACAGAATGTTTCTCTTTTTTTTTTCTTTAGGTGAACTTCTCAGTTTTTGGCTCATATTTGTCTCGTAATCAGCCCCTGACAGATTTTGCACTTGCAAGTGCACAAAGACCCTTTTTACAAACGTGTATTTTTTTTATTTTGTTTTGGTTCTATTATGAGAACTATAAAATCATTTGGTGTTGTGGACAACACTGGGATTTAGATAGCCATTAGATAATATGGTCTCTTTAAAAGGGGAGAAACAAGGAAACTATTTTGGTTGCCAAATTTACTACTTCGGAGCCGTCGTGCATTACCTAACGTTGTTTTTGTTTTGCTGTACAGTATAAATCTCCCTGCAGCTGTATTTTCTTCTTTGTTTACCTGACAAACAGCCTTTTAGTTTAAAAAAAAAAAATTGGAGTTTGTGACATTAAGAGAGATGAGGTGTTCTTAGTTCAGGTGTGTATTGTTAAAGCCCTGTGAAAGATACATGAATGTAAATGGATTCATGTTTTCGGTATCATTGCTCGCTTTTGTAACGTTTTTGTTCGTTTACGATAATGTGCAGTTCTTTTATGTAGAGCTGGTGGAAAAATATGCGGTTTTTTTTGGTTGTTTTTTTTTTCTCCTCAGATGTCCCTGTACACCTTAGTCCCTTAATGCTAGAGTAGTGGGATTCTCCAGGATAATCAGAGAGTGGATAAAGCAGATGTACGTGTGTGTTTGATTCGACCCGGCACTGCCAAAATACTACGTTGAACTTTTTACCTGTTTGCTGCAGACATCTTTCCCAGACCTTTCCTCTCTCCCTCTGGACCAAATTTCTAACCTGCTCGGCCATAATTTCCACAAGGATTCAATGATGTCTAGGTAACCACTTTGTTACCATTTGTATCAAGATTTTTTATGGTGCCTTTTGGAGTTCCTACTTTTTTAGACGCCACATACTTTGCCACATATTCCACATACTTTACCGTCTTGGGATGTAAAAAGCATTAGCCTTTCAAACAGATATTCAAAGTCAGCGACTTCTCTGAAGGATTTTTTCCAGAGTCTGGCCATTTTGATTCAGTATTAAAACATGAAGCCAATAATCACCTTGGTTTTAAACCAAGTACACTTCAGTAAGCATGTTGAACAGGCTTAAAGGGAAGACGCTACGGTGTCAGAATGCCAGATAACAACCGAAACCGATTGTCTCCTTTCGTGTTCTAGTCCTGGCATTAAGTTGTTTACAACAATGTACATTAACAAAAAACTGAGGAATGTTTCTTTTGCTTCTCCGATTTCAGTGCCAAGTGTTGATGATGTAGCTAGCCTAAACGGTCGCGGACGTGTTCTGTCTTTTTTTTTTTCTTTCTTTTGTTGTGTTGTCATCGAAGCATATTCAAACGGTGTTGTGTTTACAAGGTTCAGGGCCGATGGTGGCGACGCAGCAGGTGGTCAGTAGGACCGATTTAATTTATTTTCTTACACTTTGTAATTTCTCACCGCGTTCAATTGATTTCCTTTACATTTTCAACCAGGAAGGATTCAGTGAATGTGTTGGAAAAAGTTTTTTGCTCCTGAGCCATTTGATCCTGTTTGTGCTGTCAAAGTCATACCTGGGAGGGGTTGTGGGTTGGGGGGGTAAAAAAAAACAAAAACTGTTTTGTGGATTGCTTCGGCATTGTGAATTCAGTTTCAAAAGTTGCTTTTCACGGATTCGTGTAAATGAAAGAGAAGGTTAAAATGAGTGCTTTGTTTTATATTGTCATTGTTTCACCGTGTTTATTTTTTCAAAGTGATGGTGTCTCGGTCACACGTTTCACTTTGGCATTCACTATTAAAGAAGGTCTTGCTGGTGAAAATACAGGGTTTTTTTATTTTTGTGTATTGTGATATTACTACTCGTATATATTAATACAAAATGTATTAAAATTTAAAAGATAAAATAATGAAAAAAAGTTCAAAACCTACAGCAGAAATCTTAACTAACAAAATATTGACAAAAGGCCCATATCACCAACCCCAAGAAATTGCCTTTTTCTGGTTTTATTGTTTTGTTGTCTTTTCATTTGTTAATGTTTTATATTTTTAATTATTTTTCCCATAAACGTATGACCTATCCTTATATTACGACTTGACTCTCGTAAAGTTACGACTTTTTAATTGTCTGAATTTTATTTCTATAATTTTACGACATTGTTTTCACGTATTTTACTTTATTATTACAAAATTCAATTAAAAAAAAAGTTTTAAAAACCTTTACTCAAACTTTAGGATAAGTTTGTTATCGTATTTTATTTTCTATCATGGCCGTAAAACTATGTCATAAAGTGATCTGAAAACCTTATCATTTTCTTTCTCAGTTGTCCCATGGGACGTAAACGCAGCATAACTCCAGTTATGTACGTGTTCACGCGTGACGCCCACTTCTGTTTTCACCCCTGTAGGCACCGGTAGTCCATCTTCCCCATCAGCACTCTGCTTAATAAACGTTTCCCCCTCGGGAGGAGAAGACAGTGGAGGTGGACGTTCCTTCCAGACAACGGGAGTGACTCTGTGCACTTTATAAAGTCAGACATGGATGCCCTGAGGTCAGCGGGGAGAGCCATCATTCGCAGCCCGAGCATGGCCAAACAGTCGTGGAGTGCAGGCAGACACCGAAGTAAGAAAATGTTGTTTTTTTCTTCCAAAGTCTCGGCGGAAAAGTTGGCTTTGACTCACCGCTGTGTCCACTTGACTTAATTAACCTCAATTTCACACAGAAACGAAACATTTATAAACTAAAAGCTGCTAAATAACTGTTAATTAAATGTTTGTCTATTTTTCTTTAAGAGTAACGAACATGGTTGACATCTCGAAAAACATTTTAGGTTCGGTTTTTAATATAACATTGACTTCAAAATAATATTTGAACACACGTTTTGTCAGTTAAAAATGCAATTTTTTACGTTGTGGGTGTTTCTCTGTTCGTTTATTTATTTATTAATTTTAGTAAACGGAACTGAAACTAATATTTGTTAACCACTTCACTTATATGCATACTTAAATATTTATGTAATCCAATTGTGGGTCACTTTTGACATAAATATGGAAATGCAAATCAAATAAATATGAAGCAAGTGATTGATAGGTCCATTTTACTAGTATATTTTATTACGCTATCTGTTATGCAGATTGAAAATATTTTTTTCAATTTCTTTGTTAATCTGAATTTTTAAAAAAATTCTAAAGTTAATTTTTGGCATCACTTTACAACAGTGTTTCTCAACTTTAGGGTCGCACCCCAAGTGGGGGTCGTGTGGAACTCAAATGCGGTCCTAATATATAATATGCAGTGTATCTAATATTCACCAATGTGGGATTGATAAAAGTTCACTCATCTGTTATCTCATCCCAAAAGGACTTTATCTGTCAAATACTTGTAGCAACTCCAACATTAACAGGACACTCATGAGGTCAGGTGCCGGCCATTGTAGCTCCTTGGGGCGACATTGTAAACTAAATCTCTCTTGATCCTGACGGAATGGCTCGGTAAGCTGGAAAAATTAGTCGTCTCGGTCTGTAA